CGCGGTTGATTAGGAACGGCATCCAATCAGGTGATCGCGGTGCAGAGGCAGCACAATCAGCGGATGAGCTACGATGCCAAAAGACAACGGTTGCAGAAATGCAAGCAGAGGATCCACTGGAAAGAGAGATGGTGAACTCTTCAATCACCCGAAGGAAGGCAACGGGAAACCACCTTCGTACACTCCCTTGTACAACCATGACATTATACATGGTCGCCAACGTCAGGCTCTGATACGTCACAGAAAAGGAAAAAAATCTAAAAAAAAAAAAATTATATATATATATATACATATACACACACACACATATGTATATGTATATATATACATATATATATATACATATATGTATATATACATATACATATATACTCATATACATATATACTCATATACATATATACTCATATACATATATACTCATATACGTATACATATATATACATATAAATATATATATATATATATATAATATCATTGCCCAGAGAAGAGGTGCCCGTACGATTCAACCTGACCAGGCTGAACGCATGGTCAAACGGAATCGAATTGACCTTGCAGCCGGCGAACCACTTGCTAATGCTGGTGTCCCTATTCCACTGGTAGATAGAGGTCGGGGTGATCCTCGGAACATTCTCGGTGTCGTCTTGGAACATGACCAAAGTGACATGTTCACCATTGGAGTCAAGGCAGGAGTTCTGAAGGCCAAGCTGTCACGCAACGAGTTTGACATGCCCTCAGCGCCTTCTGGGAGAGGACTCCATCAATCGGGACAGGGTGGTATCTCTGGGAGAAGCCGTTACCTTTGAATCGAACTGTGGTGGACAAGGTTTTATCAAATGTAACTGCGCAGGATCCAAAAAGTGTCGAACAAACAGATGCAAATGCTTTAAAAACAAAGTTAAATGTAACAGTTGGTGACACACCAGCATGACATGACCAGCATGTCTAAACTTGGACCTCTTTGACATATATATACATATATATATATATATATATATATATATATATATTGTGTGAACAGTTTTCACATGTCATCATCATATGCACAAATGAAGGACAACTTGTATGGTACCTAATTGTATTTCATGACCTGAAGGAATGTGTGAACAGTAGTTTCAATTGCACCATGACTTGCACAAACAAATTACTAAGTGTGAATACTTGCACATGTGTGTATTAAAGTTTTTATGAGTTGAAATAAAGTGTGAATAGTAGTTGATATCTTTGCGTTATTAGTTCAGTCATTTCATGAAATAACTGGTCCTATTTTTTTGTCATCACACGGAATGACTGGGTATTTTAGTCATTACGTTAAATAACTGGTGGTTACAGCCATTGCACGTAATGCCTAACAATGTTAGTCATTACGTGTAATGACTGGCTTCACATATTGCCTGTAACATATATATATATATATATATATATATATATATATATATATATATATATATATATATGTGTGTGTGTGTGTGTGTGTGTGTACATATATATACATATACATTAACACTTTTTATACATTAAATATATAAAAAGCCGTTACCCAAGCCCGAGTCCTTTGCAGAAAAACAAAGGAAGAGTGATCATTTCAAGTTCATATCACAGCCTAGTCCAACACGAATGCATGGTATGAGGTAATCTACAATATTTTCTGGCAGATAAAGGAATGCAGAGAGCTGTTTGCCTTTCTCTCGGTGAAAAGAACGTTACGTTTATTTTTCTTAAGACGAGAAGAGAGAGAATGAGAAAAAAGGAACATCAACCACGTGTGAGATATAGCGTGATGAAAAATACTTATACAAGAGACATCTTTCTGGTAATGGGCGCGTAGTAACTGCTTCCGTCTAAACTACATTATACACTTTATACGATTGTCTTTCGTAGCAGCATGACGTGTTATAAAGAGAGAACGGAGATATTGGCCCTGGGCCTTGTTATATAGTTTATTTTCGAAACTCACATAATTAGTGCAAATTTCATCATATATTTACAACACTGAATTTCTGTAATAAGGTTATCAAGGAAAACAAAGTATTTGGTATTACTTTATAACTTATTTTGTAACATGTATATTCATCATAACAGACAGACATATAATTAAAATATCAACACACATACAAACACACACACACACACACACACACACACACACACACATATATATATATATATATATATATATATATATATATATATATATATATATATATACATATGTATACACATGTATATATATACATATATATATATATAATATATATATATATATATATATATATATATATATATATATGTATATATATATATATATATATATATATATATATATATACATATATATATATACATATGTATACACATGTATATATATATACATATATATATATATATATATATATATATATATATATATATATATATATATATATATATATATATATATATATATATATATATATATATATATATATATACATATGTGTGTGTGTGTGTGTGTGTTTAA